TGTATAAGATGGTGATGGTGTGGTAGTTCTGTGGTGTCGTGGTAGTTCTGTGGTTGTTTGGTAATGATGATGAATATGAATATCATAATCATGAAGGTAAAGATGATGATAATAATGAAGATGAACGTGGTAGTGAAAGCGAAGATGTTGATGAGGGTGAAGGTGATGGTGAGAGTGTAAGTGAAGATGATGGTAAAGCTAAAGATGGTGACGGTGAAGATAAAGGTGATGGTGAAGATGAGAATGGAGATGATGACATTAATAATGATAATTATAATGCTGAGGATGAAGCTACTGATGATTAGGATATGTACACTAAACAGAAGAAGAGGAAAAACAAATAAAAATAAAAAGACAACAAACAAAATATGAAGATAAAATGGACAACTAAATGTTAGAGAAGAAAGGTGAAATAAAAGAAGAAAACGGTTAAAAAGAAACAAGGAAAGTGAGAGAAGAAACAGAAGTAAAATTAGAAATAGAAATAGGAGGCTGTGAGAAAGAAAAGGATAAGGAAAAAAAACATAGGCAATAAGAGGAAGAAAAGGAAATAGAGGCAGAAGAAGACTGAAAATGAAACAAACAGAGAAATTATCATCTCTTGATTCCTTTATTCTTTAAAGTAAAATACTCACTCTTAAAAAAAACACAAACCTTCAAACAGTAAATCAAATGTGTGCTGAAACATACACAATTTAAAGGTAAATGTTTGCTAATAAGAAGGATGAATTGTCTTTATTTAAAATTACTTGGATTACCTAAAGAAACAATGCCATAATACATGTATTACATACTTTGTGTTACAGGTTTATGAACTCATCAAATACATTTACACATTTTAAAAGAAAATGTCGGAATGGGTTTGTATGTTTTAGTAAGTTATCCAGTTGCTCTAGCTTCATTTAGTCTCATAAGTAACAGCCTAACAAATCTGATAGATTATTATATTTGGGGTCCATCTCTTAACATATCCTTGTGTTCATTAGTATTTCACTGGCCTTCTATTTACCTGATCATGCATCCTTATAACCAATACATTTTAATAGCATTTGTAGTTTTTTTGTTGCTGTTATTAATCCTATTACTACATCACAGAAAGATGATAGAATCTATTATATAAATTCTAAGAGAACAAAAACAAGAAAAGCAACCCAGTGCATTTTGTTCATATATAAAGGTGGTAATTTCAAAGACTTTAGAATTTAAGCTAATCTTAATAATATGGGCATTTTGTTATTTACCAATTGCTCTTACAAATCTACACATCTTTACAACAATGCCTTTAGAATTAATTGATAATTTTTAATACATATAGATCGGAATTTTACATAGATTCTTTTGATCCCTATATCTTACAGGCCTATTAAAAATAAAATCCATTGATAATCAGGTTACTGAATATATCTATGTGAAGATCAAATAGTGCTAATATCAAAATAGACATAGATAATCCTTAAAAACAGGAAATCATTTCCATATTATTTTCAGGTCCAATACGGTGCAAAAGGTGATAGAGGAAGCTAGGAAGAAACGTTCAGTTCTAAAGAATTAGCAATTGATTATTTCTAAAATAGCCTGATCTTGATTCAAATAATTATTTAGCACTTTCTCTTTTTAGGAAGCCATACTATCCTGCTAATTTTCTTTAGTACATTCTTGAGAAATATAAAGACAAGTATCTTTAATATTATTATCAACATTATGAATAACAAGTATGTTACATAAAATATACTGCATGTTCCTCACTCAGTGCATTAGTTAGCATACTTTGCATAAGTTTAGTTATCCACATTAAAATTTGTCTCCTTGACAGTAATCAGCCACTAATGTGAATTTATTTACTGCAACCTCTTGGTTGTAGAAGTAATGTATCTCTTCAAACCAAAGCAAAAATCCTTAGCAATACAAAAAATGGTTTGGCATGAGCTTTACGATATCACTGATTTTTTTCTTCTTTTTTTTTACAAAAATAGTATATTTGTAACTGATAATAAAATAAAGACAATGAAAACAAACTTCAATGATTACATGCATAAAGTATTCAGAAGCAAATGCCCTCTGATCATTAGATGTTGCTTGCAGTTCAGTCACAACCATGGTACTAAAGGTCATACCTCATACACTCTTACCTTTCTTGGACATCTTGCTACAGTATGATAAAAAAAAGCAAACCAACATACAACAAATGGAAATTAATATCATTATATTTTCCTGCTCTGCAGTTAAGCAGCTAAACAAGTATTTTGCTCTTTTGTGGATATCTCAAGGTTATTATAATCCAATCTCTGTTGGGGATGCATAAGCTATTATATTAGATTTTTAAGAACCAGAAAAGTCATATAAAAATGATACAGTGGTACTTTGATTTCTTAGGCTAATTTCATGCATACTTTATCATAAATTCATGATGACCTAAAAATAATGAATGAAGTAAAATCTCACTGTCTTCTTTGTTATTTAAACATTTTCTTTGAAATTGGGTTAAGAATAGCCAATGATATAAAGTTACAGCAGTTTATTATAGTCTAACAAATATCTGAAATGCAAATTCTTTCCTAATTAAAAAAGAAAAAAAATCTTGGTGATAAAAAAAAAGGTCTAAGAAAACTTTATGTGCATAGCTTGGCACCTGCTGGAGGATGAAGGGAAAGTATATCAAAATATATTATACTCTTTATAAAAAAAGCTTAGATTTAAATTTTCTACTGCCCTGCTTTCACAGATGACACAGCTCATGTGGTCTCTGTCAGATCTCTACACAGTGGCATAACTATAGGAAGGAAGATAAATTATCTGCACTCTTTATTTCTTTTGAAAGTGTTACATAATTACAAGAGTTTTAACAGCATTACTGCAACGAATGTAATATCATTGCAATAGTGAGATTCTGCTGCTGTATGATACCATATAGGGAAATAAACCAGAAAGATCAAGATAAAGTCTGACATCTCCATAAACTTTTATGGTCCTAGCTTACTGAGTCTAACTTTTGAATAATTTGTTAGTTTTGCATAACATTCCTGATAAGTACTGTTAGAACAAAACTTTTATATATAAGAAGAACATTATTCTAAATATATTGTTCAGTTGAGATGAATTGGTAGTTTTATTCAGTATCAAGCTAAAGACAATGTGATATATACAATAAATGTTTATGTTCAAATATTGTTTGGAAAGGTTTGAGCAACATTTTCTAAAGAATCTATTAAGCTAGGACTATTAATCACAGAATATCTTCAATCTAAGACATACAGCATCCAACCAACAAGTCCAAGAAAACTAAGTACCACTGTAACAAATAAACTATGATCAGTTATACAAAAAATGCTTTCAGTAAGAATACCACTAACTAGAGCAATAGGGTACTTCTTGTTTGTACTCCTAAAATCACTTATACTGTATTGTAATAATGCTGTATCCAGTCAGAGGAAAGTAATGATAATAATGAGTGATGATAATGACTATGATTATCTGGAGGGTGACAATGGTCATGGTTCCAATGATGATGATAATGATGATTACAATTATAATTATGTGAATCAATTAACACAAAAAATGAGAGCTTTGTGCTAGATAAGAAATAATATAAGATACAACAAGGAAGGCCCTGATGATAATCTTCATCTAGCTATGCCCCATGAATAAATAATATTTATAAAAAAATGCTGACCTCCTTTGGGAAATCTATACCTTTACTGAAGAAAATGACCATACATCGAAAATCAGAAAAAGTCTCAGGATTATATTCATCAGCAGCAAATAGGTGATTGTACTGCTAAGCATCTAAAATTCTGGAATTAATATTGTCAAAAACCTGGAAGAATTAAGATTGAAGGTTATAGTCAAAAACCCTATGAATCCAAGAATGAAAATTATCATCAGCAGGCAAATTAGACCTACAACTTCATACAATTCAGCATAGTGTGATCTCTCATGATTTTATTTTATTGCAGCCTACTAAAGGAACTGTTAAATTCACCTCAGGCCAAATACAAATACCATACACATTTAAAGAAAATTAAAACACATTTTTTTTCAATTCAAACAATTTAACTGTTTTACAAAACTTAATTACATAATAATGAAAATAAATCATCAAAGATCAAAATCAGTAACACTGCTTTTCAGAGGTAAGCAAACCTAAATACTTTAATTGTATCTGTAAGGCTATGGTTGACTAGCTTCCATTTCTTAATTGAACTATTTGCTAGGTTATCCCTTTAACAAAAATAAAATATTTTTCACTGGTTGGTGTCTACAGTATTGGTTCTCCAAGTATCACCTGTCTAGTACTGGTATCTGTGTGGCAATATAGCACTCATATATCATATACCAACATACAACAAGGTTTTATTACTCTTTAAGAAAAATAGAGAAACAATGACATTTCAGTAACTACACAAGCCTCCAAGAAACTACTATTACCACACAGCAGTGAAGAATGATATAATGGCAGCATTAGTATTGCATGTGTATTACAATCATATACCACAGAGCCTCTGAACAGGCTTTCAATCATTTCAAAACATTTAAAAAATATTCAAGATAATAAATGTATCTAATAACAGTGCTAGTTTCTTGAACATATGTGGGAATCACTGCAAGCACTCATATAAAAAAAAAAAACACTTTAACATTATTGCAAGTAACATAATTATAACTACTATAAATATGTTCTTGTCTTAGAATTTCACTGACAAAAAAGAAATCTGACAGAAATACCATTACTTTACATCATCATTCAAAGAGTTCCTGAAGCTATCTCCAAATTAAATAATACACAATAGACATATTATAACAAACAGAGATGAACAGTGGAATGAATATTACTTCATTTTTTGTATAACTTGCCTATAAATACAATAAAATATTTTCAAATTTCTCTGAAATTATCACAAATACAATAGACCTACTAGTATTAGCAAATCAAGTTGTCATGTCAATAGCATATCTGGGTCATGATGTATTTCTACATCTGTTAGGAATAGCCTTGAATGGGA